GCCCAGGAAGGAGAGGTTGGTCGGGCTGTGGCGAGGAGGGGCTCCCGAGCGCCTGCGTGGAGCGACTGGTGGCCTCCATGCGCCCTCGGGAAGATCCCTTGCCGAAAGGCAGGGTGAGGAAGAGGGGTGCTGGGAGGCCAGCTGCCTGGAGATGCTGAAGGCAGAGACTGCACTGTCCTCGCTTGGTGAGGCAGGCGCGGAAGTCACAGGAGGTGGGTACAGCAGAGCAGGGTTCCTAAAAGCACTCGTAACAAGGTTTTTGTGTTTTAAGGGCAGGAGGCTGTACTCCTTACCACTGCTGTGGTCCCAGGGGGGCGTGCTGCCCGTCTCCAGGGCTTTCTCCTCTTCCTAGGAGGTTGCGGTGGCATGGCAGCAGAGAGCCACCTTGTTTCTGAGCCACAGCCCTGAGCGAGGGATCGTGCTCCTGTCTCTGAGCTGCCGTGCTCCTCACTGCTGCCCTCTGGCATCGCAACAGACCAGGAGACGTGTGTGCGTGGGAGGGGGTGTCTTGGGGTGGGGAACTTCTCTTACAGGCACCTGGTTTTGGCCATATGTTGTGCTCAGATGCAAGAAATTGATGTATTTGGATGCATCTGAGAAAGGGCAGCCCAGGCCTGCTTGGAGATGGGGGGGCTCTGTCTGGACCGCCCGTGTTTAGGCAGTGAGAGTCTGATCTTCTCAGAGACCTGTGCAGTTTTTGGTGGAGAAAGTGCATGGGGAGGAGACCGCCATCCCCTGGCAGTGACAGCCCCTGGGCGTGGAAAAGGTTTCGTCTTCCCAGCAAGGGGGAGTTTGGGGCTAAGTCTTAAGAAAATGAAGAAGTGAAGATGTTTGTGCAAAGTGGGGGCTGGCTTTGCTTTAAAGCCAAGAGCTATTGGCTTGTCACTGATACATTAATCAGGAGTGAAATGTTTAGGCCAGGCTGGGTGGGAGGAGAAGGCGAGGGAAAGCGAGGGGAGAGTTGCTGAGCTCTGAAGTGGGAAGGGAGGGGGTTGTCATGGGGCCGAATCTGTCAGGGGATTTGGCCTGAGCCCTGTGCCAAGATTAAGTTTCGGAGAACACATTCCAGAGCAGAAAGGGGGCTGTGTGCGCTGGTGGCCTGATAGAAGCAAGGAGAGGAGGGGAGAGGTGGATGGGATTACCAAGGGCATGGTTTGCATTTAGGAGAGCAGGGTGTGCACAGCTCCTCAGCCTGATCAGTTCCTTCTTAGGCTGATCCCCTTTCCTTTTTTTCTCTCACCCCAACCCACCACCACCAGCTCCGTCTCCTGGGACAAAGCATGGCTGTTTGACCTAACGTCCGTGGTGGATGGGACATGGGTCCTAGAGCACCAGAAAGTCCCACCATGTCCCTCAGGACAAATCAAAGCTGTAACTGAGTAGCCCATCAGCCCTGTCTGAGAGCCAAATCACCTTCAACTACCAGATTGCAGCTGGGGACATGGGTGCAAAAGAGGGGGACTTGGCCATTGCTGCAGTCCATGCCGTGGCAAAGGCACCACTGCTGAGCAGAGGTCAGGAACACCATTCAGTGGAGCTCAAAAAACTGGGGCCAGGGATTGGATGGACAAATAACTGATCATCATGAAGCACCCCTGTGCTGCACTGCATGGGTTCCTTGTCCTCGAGAGGAGCTGGGGATGGCAGAGGCCCCGTGTCTCATGCACCCAGACAGCCTCAGGCGATAGAAATCCCCCAGGTGATCTGTGGGCAGCCCAGGAAAGACTTGGGGATGAAGGTGTAGGAGCGAAACCTTCTGGAGGGGTTCCAACAACCAATTTCATGTTCATGAGCTGGAGGCAACTTGCAAAGAAGTGGCTTTGCAGTGGTCTGAAATGACTGAGGGCACCAAGTTGTGGTGGGACTGAGCTGGAAAGCTGTGGTAGTACATGTGCCACAGGCTCTCGCTCCCGCTCCAGACCTCGTCTACGGGGCCTTGCTCTGAGCTGGTGTAGTGGGGACCATAGTCGTTGGGGTGGAGTGGGAAGCCCCTGGCAGATCGGCATTACTGTTGGTACAACTCTACCCGATCACCCGCTGGGCTGTAAGAAAACCCTCTCAAAGTCTTAGCCCTATCCAAAATTATTTGGGGGCCCAGGGGATGAGCAAAACTGCAATGTGAATGAAAGCAGCAGGGGCTGGGGGGGATTTGTGTGTGTGTGGAAACATTTTCAAGGTTAGGTTTATTTTGGAAGGCGACCCGGGATCATTGGAAAAAGGGTCTTGCTAGGTTGCGAGGGGTGTAGGTAACATCATCTGGCCAACTTTTAGGCTATTTCCACTGCTTTCCCTCCACCTCCTTTGGGGGAAGCACCCTCGAGTGCCCCAAGCTGTGCGTGCCCAGTCCCTCAGGGCCTGCTGGTGCTTTGCTGACGGTCAGCAGGCAGATAACCATCGCTGCCCTGCTGGCAGCCGTGGTGTAGCCTTGGCACCGATACCTCCTGCTCCCGTCTGTGGCACAACGATGCCGAGTCCGTGTCTGCTCTCCCTGGCTCAGAGGACTGGTTGAAACCAGCTTTTAATTCCTCCAGCAGAGATAAAATAGCTGTTGTACAGCCGAGGGGTGGAGGGAGGAGGGATTTGCAGAAAGGGGAAGATTTCTTAAAGCAACAGAAGGAGCAGCACCTCAGGCATTGCTTGGGTGCTTCTGAGTCTGGTTAGAGCTGAGCTGGTGCTCCGTGATCCCAGGCTCAGCCTTGGCAGCCCGTGGCACGTCAGTGCTGATCGCCGCTGGCCTGGCTGTGCTGCGTGAGATGAGCCTGGCGTGGCCCCAGGGCAGCCCTTCAGCCTGGCAGTGATGGCCTGGAATCTGGGACAGCTCGGACAGGTGGGCCGGGGGTACTCCAGGCTTCCCAAGCCTACGCACGGCCGAGAGCTGCAAAGAAGAGAAAGGCGTTTTCTCTGCCTGCTTCCAGGTAGCCAAGTCGCCATCGTGCCCTAAGCCCTGCTCCAGCCCGTCTCCTGGGTAGAGGTGCCATGGGGAGAAGGGGTGGCTGCGGCAGGCTCTGCTGGGGCTGGATAAATCCACCAGAGACACAGGCAGGGTGCTGTGGGCTGC